GCTCAGAACCAGGGATGGAAAACCTTGATGTGTCTAAACAATCAGTTTCTAATGATACCAAAATATCTAGGTTTAATAGCGGTAAGTATAAAACGCTCATACCATCCACCTGGGATCAAAATTGGCAGTTGTCTGGTTGTCCTGGGCAACCACTTTTTGATCATTGGGCAAATAAATGTTGAAACTTTGCCCATTTTGTCAACAATAAATATTTATTTTGTGAAAGATGACAAACGTCGTCATTTCAAAAACACAAAATCTTCATTTGACAACAACATTTTCATGTGAACTATAAGTTCATAGTAGTTATTTAGATCTCTGTCTCTATGCACTATGTTGTCACACTGGTATTATTTTCTTATACTTATCTGAAGTAAATTACAACTTTGTTTTTTCCACAGATGGACTGAGTAAAGTCAGAGAGCAAATAGAAAAGCAGAGAAAACTAGCGACTAAAGGTAACAACATGAATTTCCAAATGCATACATTGGTAGATTAATAAATGTTCACATTGCTACTGTGAAATACTTTATTTTCGCTTGGAATTTATTTTCGCTATTTTCGCTGAAGGAATGATTCAGTGAAAATAAAATCCAGCAAATATACCTTTTTTTCTTATATTTTACATTCCACTTGACAAAAATCAGTGAAAATAAAATTCCTTACAATACACCCAAAAAGTCTATGCAGTGAAAATTAATTCTACCAAAAATAAACTATTTTACAGTATTCTGCTAAACAAAGACAGTGAAATTACATAAAGTTTCAGTGACTTCATGAATGCCATAAAATGCTGATATCGCAAACATGTCTAACTGTGAAAATTAAAAGATTTACAGTATTTATTATTTAGATGGATTGCCGATTGACATAAATACCTATTTAAGGTAGTTTGCTACCATTAAAAAAATACTCAGAAATCCTTGAAATACAGCAAACAGGGGTTTTGGACTAATCACTTATGTTCAATAAATATTTTTTCACAAAACCACCTTTGAAAATTGATCAAAATGTGTGTTTTGGGTAATAAATATGGTTTCTATGGTAGAAACATTGCTTCATATCCCCAAATTTGTTGTTATGAAGGCTACATATGGCTTTTATGAGAAAGTGGAAAATTTTGAATATTAGTTTAAGTTATCCATGGAATTATGTGTGTAACTTGATTCTAAAATGTTCCGAAATGACTGCTTTTTGGATTGTTTTGCATATGTTTTCTTGAAAACACATCCTTTTTTCTCCATAAAAATTTCAAATATGAATGACATGCATTTATGTAAATTATCACACAATAATTTTCTGATGATTTACTGATATGTTTTAATGCTAGGGAACTACCATAATAGGGTCCATCAAAGAAATGGGTAAAACTCATTGTAGAAAAACAGAAAACAAATACAACAACATGATCAATAGTTTAAAAACAAAACTGAGGTTACATGGATTTACGTATGTTTATACATGATGGATTAATGTCAGGCAGGATTTGTTTTCACTGAATTGTTTGTTGAAAACTGAAATTTACTTCAACTTGGTAGAGACGTTACAAACACTACTGTGAAAAAATTGGTAGCTGCAATCGTCACATGAGTTCCCTGAAAATTCAAACTCTTTAAATAATTTATATATACATAATTGGCCTCTAAAGATTACATTTTTTATAGGCTATTAATATTAGTATTCTGGGAAGACTACCAATTCATTTACTCGCACTACCATTTTCCAAATTTAGTAAACTACTAGAAATTATGTAGTACAGCATACTTTCAATAAAGTTTGTAAATTTCAAACACTAGCATTTATGCATTGTGTTGATTTGTTTTATCCATCAGATGAATCAGTAAACAGAGTTCGTCACTATGAAAATGATCCAGTGAACTTTGTACCGTCATCCGAAGTCTACAAACCCAAAGAAACAACAGTGTTGACAAGTAAGCAACCTAAAGTGCGTAAAGTAGCGACTGTACCTCCCCCCTCTACTTACAAAGGGTTCAATGAAGCGGAGACCAAAATAGTAACACCTGATGGAAAAATGTACAAAGAAGGTGAAATGAAACGAAAAGTGAGAACAAGAAAACCTTCAAAAAATGAAAGAAAAAATGAAGGTATGTGTATGTTAACACTTCTTACATTGAAGTGCATACATTTAATTAATTATGTAAATGACATGTAAATTTTATGAAAATAAGTTTTTTTTCAAGCATCCAGTTAACAATAAATGATTTTTTGGGTTTATGTACATTTCCATTTAGAAATATATTTCTAGTGGAGTGAGTTAATATGGTAACACTAAATAAAATGTGCCAAATAGTGATTCTGTACCAGGACCAGTGCCTATTACATCAATGTCTCATTGATATTCAAATTAATTATAGTTGTTTTCCTATTATTACAGCAGTTTTTTTTCTGTAAGTTTTGGTCAATCAGATGATATGCCAAGTCACATGACTATAATTTTAATATTTTTAACCAACAGGGCGTGCTTTACAGCCACATAAAACATCCATGTCTAATAAAACAAGTGTGCCAGTAACTGGAGATGAGAAAAGAAAAGTAACAAGAAAGATACAACGAGTGTCAGCTCCTAAAGACAGGAAACCACATAGAATTGACCACCAAGGTAAGTCCTGAGTTTGTATGGTTCTAGCATGTACTGAAAAGTTTTGGGATGTACTGAAAATTGTCCTGGAAAATCTTGAAAAAGGTGCAATTAGCATAAAAATCCATTACTTACAATGTCAAGAAATGAATTATTCAGATGATAATTGTAGAAAGCTAGCCTCTCTCACACAAACCAACTCCCCTTAAACAAAAAAACAAAAAATTACCAACGTTACAAAGAAATTCTTCTGGAAACTGATATAAAAAAACCTGCAGAGTCCTGGAATTTTATTTCACTCATCTCACTATGCAGAGGCCTTGTTACCATGCCAACAACAGGTGCATGCTGCATGCTAGGTTTTATTTTCACATTCACTGGACATAATTGTGATTATAAAATGCATTCTTTAAGTCATCCTTGAGATTGTAGATTGATGATGTAAACTTTAGTTCAGAGTTTGTATGATCCTGGAATATACTGAAAAATTACGGAATTTGAAAGACTTTGGTTGTCTCCTTACGAGTTTTTCTTTTACAGGTATTATCACTGCAAGATCCTGGAGGGAAGGACAGAAAGTTGCCATGAAAGTGTTAGGACCCCCTCCCAAAAAGAAAATACATGAACCAGTAAAAGAACATAAACCATTAAGTATGTTACAAAATATAGCAGTTATGGTAAAAATAGCAAGACTGTAATATTGTAATTAGCAGCCATCATAGAAAACCACACACAGTGCCTTGACCTTTTCACCACCAGAATTTCCCACCCAAATTGTTCTGCATTTTTTCCTTATATTCTTAAATATTTCTGGGAATGAACCCTAATTTTGGAGCCAACAGCCAAAATTTGAGTCAATTTTCAGTTTTTACTCAAAATATTTGAATATTTTTGTCCCAATCTTCTGAAGAAAAGTGCAGATTATAAACAGAACCATTTTTGAATTTGTGATGAAAAGGGAAAACTGGTGGTGTAAGGGTTAAAACATTATGGCCATAATATGCTTTCATATATAAAATATCATATGTAAATCATAAACATTTCATGAGGAGCATGTAATATTGATATTTTTGTCTCGTTATTTGTCTTTGTTAGAAAATAATGATGATGATGATGATGAAGTTATAATGCAAATAGAACCGAGCATGGATCAACATCAGATGAAGGGATCAGATGACGAAGAGTTATCACAGCATACCATAGAGTCTACTGACAAACCGACTAATACGGCTGCTTTATCTGAACAAGCTAAAGAAGTACTTGGAGACTTACACCTTGACAAATCAGGTTGGAAATATATTTATTTATAAATAGCATATTTTGTCTAATGGACAAATGAGAAAAATAATCATGTTCTTTTGGTCTAATTAATCTGATGCTCTTCTTCGCTTTGTAATGACAAGCAATGCTTAGAATGTCAAATACTCTCAAAACTGCAGAATGCTTTAGAAAAACAACAATAAAATGGTAAATAGGTGGGATAAAAAAGCACTCAAAAATATTACAGCAAAACAAACTCTAAGGACTATATGTTATAGATGAACACCCTTCATCAGAAAAACAGGAAAAAAATGGAATGTCTAGTTAGAGCTTTTTCGGAGCATTGACTGAGAGTGCCTTAATCAGTCTTTGCCACAGATGAAAGTCTATATCACCTTTGCTGAACTTTTACTTCATATTATATTTTTATATACAATTTATAAATACATATAAACATGAATATTATAGCCTATTTAAAAAAAATGCATAATCCTATAGATTTGGCCTGAGACTGATTCATGGTGTCACAAGAATGTCTCCAATGACAGCAATCAGCAATCAATGCTTGGAGTATGAAGTTAAAGGGTAAAACAGAATGCAGATATTGTCTTTTTTCATAATTGATTTGTTTTTTGTATTGCAATCTTCACAGATGACTCAGATGATGAACATGATGATAATAGAGGCACGTCGGGTTCTAAACTGATTTCCAAAACCTCTATGAAATCAAAGAAAAAAGTTGGTGTACCTTCCAAGAGAAAACTTGGCAAATATAGTGCAGGTAATATACTAGTATGGCATGCCCTGCAGTATTTACAACTGATTTGCAATTTGTGTTATAAGTTGTTTTCTTTGCTGTTCATTTGAATTTACTAGGATGTGCAATATATTTATTTAAAAAGTGTTTAGTTGATCTGTAATTAACAATGATGATTTTTGTTAATTTAACCAGAACCGCAACTACCAGCTCAAAAAGTACGCCATTATGACAGTGATGATGTCCGAAAATTTATGATGAAACAACAAGCAGATCGAAAAAAAAAGCAACAGGAAATGAAAAAACAACAACAAATTCAAGAAGATAAGAAAAATAAACAATTGGAAGAATTGTATAAAAAACAAAAACATTCTGTGAAAGTTGCTGATAGGAAAAAAAATGTGTCAAGGAGATTACTGGATGAAACGTTTAGTAAATATCCCAATGAGATGCCAATGCATCATCCATTCCCACAGGAAAGGAAAAGGGTAAGAATCACATTACATTACCGGTACATTACATTACATTACCAGTACATTACCAGTACATCACATTACATTACCAGTACATTACATTACATAACTGTAAAATACATTATTTTAGCTGGGATTAATTTTCATTGAAAAGTCTTTGGTTTTTGGTGTTTTCACCGATTTTGGATGAGTTGAATGTAAAGTACAGGAAAAAGGTATATTCGCTGGATTTTATTTTTTTTTAATCATTTATTCAACGGAAATAAATTACATGTACAAGCGTAAACAGTGGCAGTGTATATGATGGATCTTGAAAATGTAAGTGTAGAATGTGTACCATTTCTATTCAAATATAATATTAACTATATGCGTATCTCTAAGCTCTAAACTTTTCAATAAATTTGTGCACATATAAGACCTGTATTTTGCCCTGCTCACTCCAAGGCACTTTTCTAGTACTGTAAAATACTTTATTTTAGCTGGAATTAATTTCTGCTGAAAAAAAAATTTTGTATGTTTTGTATGGAATTTATTTTCTCTGATTTAAATGTAATATATAGGAAAAAATCTATATTCGCTGCTTTTGATTTTCACTGAATTATTTCTTCAGCAAAAATAGTGAAAGCGAAAATAAAGTATTTTACAGTATCTTGGAACCACATTTTCTATGCACAATATTGATGATTTCTAAATATATATGATATTCTAAAGGCACCTAAAAACAAAAATGCCTTGGAGTAATTATGATGGCTTCACAGTCAATGAATGCATTATGGCTTTGTAAACTCTGATGTGATGTTTATTTGTAGGTTGAATTGAGTGGATCTGATAAAGAAAACAAAGGTTTAAATAGTACATCTAGTAGTTCTACTTACAGTGATGACAGTTTAGTTCCATCAACACCTGCAGATAGAAGGTAAGTACGCAGTAATTTTTTTAGATTAAATGTCATGCTTGTAATAGATCCGTGTTTCCATCTTCACTAACTTAGCAATATCCAATATATGGAAGATAAAGATGGTTTGCAATATATTTTAGCCCGAGAGAGTCAAAACCATTGAACACAGAAGTGAGATCATCTCCCAAACCTACCATGAACCAGTATCACCATGATGGAAGTCCATTCCAACCTAGAAGTGAGGTAAAAGGTCAACCAGGTGCTAGGACAACCAGTATTGATAACTTGACAGGGATTGGGAAAGCTGAGTTTGATTTCCTGGACATGAAAAGACGGCCGTATTCCAGTAGTATGACTGATTTGAGATACAGGAGTAACTACACACCAGGTACGATTGATATTTAGTGTCAGTAGCAAACATCTCATAATACAACAATTTGGAGATTGGTGTCACCATTGAATTGCTAGTTTATTTGTCATCCATGCTGAAGATGTGCATTTCATCATATTGGCAATTCCACGATGACTGAAATTACATTCAGAAAAGTTGGAAGTTATTTCAGTTGTCCTTATTACTAGAGTATTACCTCGTGGAATTTGACACTGTGTTATAGACGTGCTTATGCCACAGGCATTCTCATGCCAAGAAGAAATATTCTCAGCTTGACATACAGCTTGGGGTAATCAGAAATATGTGTGTGACAGATGTTACGTCAAGTTTTCTTAAATATTGTGAGGTGTATTGTCCAATACTTGGCAACAAATGCCCAAATTAATGGTATTAGCATATTAAATCAAGTGAACATGAACCATGAAACAACTTAAATTAAGACACATTTCAAGACTACTCTTGTAAAAATGTAACATATATTTGAAGGCACATTCATGAAGAAAAATTATGCGTCTAATTCAGAACAACTTCTTTCTGGGAGGCTGGGGGTTCTGCTCCATAATTGCCTATATGGAATTTTGTTGTAAATTTCACTAGAAAATTGTTCTCATGATACAGTATGTATAATGTATATAAAGTGACTTCATAATATCAGCATGCAGCTCTTATATATTATTCATGTATGTTCACAGGTTTTGGAGCATCACACAGCGCTGGTCAAAGGAGTAAAGCGGATCGTTTGGCAGCTATTAAAGACATGGCCTCTGCCTTGCAAGGTAGAATTGAAGCTGAGGCAAGAAGATTGGCAGGTGATCTTGATACAAGTGCAAACCGATCTAAATTGGATGGTGAGTATTACAAAGTCTGACTCAACATTTTTATTTTTTGAAAGATAATGTTATCAATGCAACCATGATGTAACGAGTTTCTCTGGTTGTCATTGGCTGCGGGCTCACTTCTGATGATATAATAGCTGAAATGTATGTCTGATGAGATCATGCCTCTAACAAGATTATCAGTAATATTTATTACCGCATGGCTTCTTTATGAATTCTAGTATCTGGATCAGAAAGATGGGCATATCCAACTGACGCCGTGCATACATCTCCACCAACCACCAGATATGAGAGAATCTCTGGAGCACCAATCGACTACTCTGTGTTTTCAACTGACCTACCAGGTATGATATATAGTGTTGTGAGGGCTACAGTCACATGACTCACATGTGTGTATTACTGTGAGGACTAGAAAGTCAGATGACTGAAATGTGTGTACCAGTATCAATGACATTAGTTTTTAATCGTTAACCTTGTCATATGAATTGTAGGTATTGGAAGCTTATCAGATCATGCCAGACAAGCATCTGATGTGAAACAACAAGATAAAGCGGCCACTATGATTCAGGCTGCATACAGAGGGCATCACGTGAGACAAGGTCTGATGTGGAAATTACCATCTGGGCATACATTGGGAGATCACATACATCGTACTGAAAGGACTTCACCTATGGTAAGCCACCTCTCTATACTGAGCACTGTGAATTGAAAAAGTGTATCAAACTAAACTTCTCTATCTCCAGATTTGATTTATTTCATTGTATGTTAGGCATGAGGTATTTACTGTATAAACTCTAAAACTTCAGCCACCTAATTGATTGTTGGGTCTCCAAATTTTCGGCTAGAGGCATGAATCTTGAGTTTCTGATTGACTGAGAGATTTTTATTTTATTGGTATTGAAAGTATATTCTAATCAAAGTTTCAAATAAAAACGAACACAACTGCATTGCGTAGCAGCAAATGATCACGGTTGTGAAATCTGGTCATGCTGCATTTCACAATTGTTGATTATTACTCGGTAGTGATTATAATAATGTACTTCCATCTGTACAGTTCAGTACAGTTACTGTGGTGATTTGAAAGCTGAGTGCAGTATTATGTATTACTGACTTTGTTTTTTTGTGTGCTCTGTTTGATAGATATCACCACATCATTCTGACAGCTCACTCAGTGACAACTATGGAGAGACACGACCAAAAGTAAGATTTCAATTTCATTGCTTTTTTTTTTTTTCATGTGCATTGTGGATCAAAAAAGATCAACAAAGACAATTACTGCTTTCATGTGGTAACTAGTCGCTGATCATAGAGGTTTATTGTTTATATTGTTATTGTCATTGCAGTTTAAAGAGTTGATGCGAAGTGCTGAGCACCGCAGTATTGACAGGTCGCAGCGCGTAAAAGATTCTGAGAGTCCGTACCGAGAACTCTTGTCCAATGCTTGCAATAGAAGAGATTACTACAATCACCACTGGGACCAACCCAAAGCGGATGGCTTCAGTGTTATTGATATATTTACAAGACGATATGAAGAAGCTGGCAAAGATCAACCTCGGAAGGTGTCTAAAGGTTAGAGTCTGTCATAAACCCTCTCACACCCACCATCAATACTTCCAAATGTTTTACTAACATTTTAAATCAGTCACGATTATTTAAATGTTCTGCAGTCCAAGATTTATTTTGATTACGATGTCATTATCTATAATGCATTGTAAATTAATGCCAGGAAGTTTTTGCTTCAGATTATTATTCCAGTAAACCGCATGAGCAGTCTGTCAATCAGTCGTATTCATATGAAGATGATTTCACTGGTGCTAGTATGTCACGAAGTCATGCGTATCAACGATCACCAAGTCCAGCTGATAAAACACAGGTAAGCATTTTCTGGACATGGCTTTTCAGCTTCTCAGTCAATGTGATCAAAGATAACATGGATGAAAGCATTCAGAGAGAGTCTATCTCTGTATATAGCATGTTGCATTCACTATTTGTCTATCATTTCAGGGATTCCTCACAGGGAGTACATTCATATCATGTAATTGAGAACCACTGGATTACGATCAGTATATGTTCTAATCCAAGAACCTGTTCTTAGAAATGCTGATATTTGTACAAATAAAACAAAAAAAATTGGTTTTATTTTTACTGGACTATTAAAATATGACTTATTTTGATCATAGTCACACCTCTGTCATTCATGTAAGCTGCTACTAAAGCAAATATGATATTGATACAAGACCCCATATCTGGATCTCTTAAATTAATATGTATGGATATAAGTTTTTGTTACATTTCGTTACTTGGGCTTTCCTGACAACGCAACCACTTTCGTGTCAATTTTCAGTTTTTATTCCAAAAATTTGGCTATTTTTGTTACAATCTTCTGAAAAAAAGTGCAGAGACTATAAATGGTACTATTTTGTGAATTTGTGATGAAAAAAGGGAACTGGTGGTCAAGGACTAATACTGATCAATTCTTTATTACAGCGATCTTTGAGTAAAGCAGTCACTTACACCGATGATTTCACTGCTAGTTCATCTAATGCATCAAAGAGAACTCCAAGTGATCAATCTTCCAAAAAGTCATCTGAAAAGAGAACTCCCAAGTCTTTTAATAGAGAGGACACTCTGGAGGAAGCGACATATTCGCACAGTTTCTCTAGGTGTGTATATTCTGTCTTCTCTCACCCTCAGCCATCTCATCAGAATTATATTTGTCTGAGCATCTTTGACAACCAGATTTATCACAACTGTCCACTGTTGACCGCATTAACCACATTAGGCAGTTAGACATTGGGTAAATCTCTCATCAAAAAAATGATGCAGGTTAAAAAGGCCATTAGATGCACCACCCGAATAATCAGAAATTATTTTTTTTCTAAATACTAAAATTCCATTCCTTGGTACATGTACATATGTACAAGTCAATATTCCCAACCAATGTCAAAGTTCTTGTATTTATTTATTTCTGTACTGTGTGTGTTGATTACAGAATTGATTTTTTCAATTTCTGAATTCTTGTTTCGTTAACAGTTCTGAAGAAGACACATTGCGGGCTTCTGTAAAAAGGTCCCGGACGCCAAGTCCAAGGACGACATCTGGAAAATCTGGTGTTAGGTCTCCGGTTGCCACTGGAAACAAATCTCCAGTTAGTGACAGAAGGTCACCAGTCAGTGAAAGGAAATCACCGGTTTCAGACCGTAAATCACCGGTCAATTCCAGGTCACCTGTTACAAGAGACTATGTTAATGGTTTTCACCCTGTAGAAGAAGTGCCAGAAGAAAATGATATTCCGTTGTCAAGGCAACAAAGAAGATCAGATGTTTTGTACAGGGTAAGTAATTTGTATCTCCAAAAATAACCACTCCCATCCAAGTCTATGAGCTTTCTGTTTAGTGTTAGCTGATGCCTTCTTATGGTAATACATACCATCTACAAGAAAAGCTTATCCCCTACATTTTATTCTGTTGCCAGTTACACACACGGTTTGTTGTAACATAACATAAAATGCCATAGAATTGCACTAAGGGCAAAAAACTGTTGCTTCTCACCATCAAATACATCAGTTTGCAACCTGTGTCTCACACATTTTTTAAAAATTGTGTCTACTATTAACTGCATTACCTACTTTTTTTAGCCTAACTCTGGTCTTTTATTTCTCTATTCAGAGTTGTAGATACAATCTTTATAAATCTTCAAAGGGTTTCTTTATTTAATGTTTTTTATATTCTTCCTAGCCTGTGCCGCATGGAAGACCAGTTACAGACGGCCCTCCTAGGATGTCACCAAGTGCACTTGAACTCAAAATGGCCGCTGAGCTGAATCTATTAGAATCAATGGAAGAATCAATGAGACAATTAACTGAGGTAGAAAGAACCAGAGCAGTCTCCCTAGCTCAACAAGAAAGTGTTTCATTGGCTCAAATTTTGAAGGTATAGTAATTTTGTGTACACGCTGTTCTAGGATTCTCTCAAATGTAGTAGTAATAGTAGTGATTTTTTTCCAGCAGTCGTTGCATGGTATGAAATTTTATAAGAGTTGTATACACTGAATGGGGCGGGAGGTTGGCACATGTTGCATTGATGGCCACTCTTCAATTTAAGACAAGGATGAATACAAGAAAGCGATAACATTAAGCTGTGCAACTCTGCTGATAGGTGCCATGCACAACAGAGTTTGAATTCACATACTAATGTCACATACATAGTGGTAGTTGTTGTTGTTAAGTTGTATTAGTATAATTACGAGATTACATTTTGTTATTCTGCAGGCAAGGCAACAGAGTCACGAGAGAGAACTACAGCTATTATCAATGAAAGCTCGGCAAGAAGCAGATGCAGCGACCCGTCAACTAGAAGAAGCACGCAGTAGAGCTGCAGCATCGGCTGTGCAGGCGGAAAAGACGTTGGTGCAAGTAAGAAAGGAAGCACAAGATGCCAAACTTGATACTGCACATAAACTGATGCAGTCGCAGGCTGAAGCTGCAAAAGTCACTGCTGAAGCTGCCAAACAGTTAGCAGAGGTGTGTTATTTTTTGATTGTTCACATCTTCCTGTGATATCATATTACACATAGTTGAGATAGACAACTAATGGATGTAGAATTTCTGTTAAATCAAAATTGGATAAATATACTGCTGGGGCTGGATATCGATCACATAGTGGCAGTTGGATCAGGCTCATGAATGGGAGACATGAATTCAATGTTCCGCTGGGCCTAGGTGGCTTGGGGATAACACATTAAAATGCCATAATGCCACTAGGATATAAATATTGGCCTATTTTGTAGTCATGAAAAATATGGTTGTTGTAGCAAAATGCACTGTGCTTATACTTTGCTCAAAATGTGAGGAAAGCAAAGTGTGACATTGTTGGAAACTGTTGCCTGGCTCAACGAATATTGGATGGATTTGGGCACAGTTATAATTGTCATAGAAATTTTCAAAAATTTGATTTAAACTTTAATAGCACTCAGACTAGTAATTTCTTGCAATGCCTTGACAATTTCTTTAGTGTATTGTACGTAGGTTAATAACATTTCTCATCATTTTATCATTTACATTTACAGGCAAGACATGCATCCTTAGAACAAGTAGCGGCAATGCAGAAATTTGATCCCACAAAAGTTGCCTCTGAAACGGCATCTGCTGCTGCAGCAGCTGCAGTGACTGCTGCACTTGAAAGACAGCGACAGCAGCAGGTTGAAACCTGGAAAGAAGCAAGGGCTAAAAAGTAAGTTTTCATGACTGTTTTCTAATCACTGCCGTTTTGTACATAAGGAAACTAGGAATAAACACAAAAAAACTGTCCAAATGATTTATGCTATAATTTTTTGTTTTCAACAGAGCTAAACAACTGAGTGAATATTCAATGACAGCAAGTTCAAGTCCATCTAGTAGAGCTGATAGTAGAACCATGTACTTGTCTGATTTCACTGACTATAGCAGTACTACAACCAAATCAAAACAACCCAAGTAAGTAGTGTGTGTAGTCAGAGAATTGTAAAGTACATCTCCATGACAGCAAAAGTACCTATGACAGTTGTCATAGCAACAGTTTACCATTAAACACTGCAGCATTTTCAATGTAGGGTGCTGAAGGGATGAAGGCTAATTAAGTTATATCAAAAGAGTTATGTCATGTTGAGTGTTGAGTGCATAATGTGCCCCAATCACTGTGTCCTGTTGTGTTCAATATGTATCCAATGTAATACAACATGTTTGGTTACACGCAATTCACATGCATGCCACATGACTGTGATGTTTTTGATAAATTGCCAGCACGTTTCTTGCTAATATTATAAACTTAAAATGTTGTTCTATTGTTGATTTAGTTCACCACCTCATCCTAGTTATTCAGTATCTGATGGCTACAGATCAGAAAAATCTCCAGTGAAAGATAAAGAAAAGAAAGACAAGGACGTGATCAGTACGGCCTCGTCTTTGCAGACCGCTGTCGACTCGGCTAAGAGTAATAGTAGTATCAAGACAGCTTCGGATGTGTCCATTGATAGAGATAATTCACAGATCAGAACTGATGATTCATCTATTCATACCGATGTGAGTGTTGCCAAGGACTCATCTAAGAGTGAAAGTATTGCTGAGGAGATCACAAGTGGGAAAGGTAACCAACAAACAAACATGTGTATTTGATTCTTTGATTGGCTGTTATCAGTTGTGTCCGCTGAATATCTCTTCACCCATTGGCCAGTATGAATTTTGTTTTAAAGAATGCAGTTCTGAATTCATATATTCTACATGCCTGGACCGATCAAGTGTAAAATCCACTTATACATCAGACATTATATTGGGCATATGTACATGCTATTGTTCCATGATCCCATTAATAATGGCTGAATAACAGGAATTTTAAGTCAAAAATCACACATTTTTACCATTCCAGACTGATATTTCAGTCGTGCATGGACATCTGATACATCAGACTTGGTATTAGATCATAAAATCCAAAAAGGCTGACTGGCAGCCATCTTTTTTAAACAATGCAGTTGCACATGTCTCATACTTACCTGGACCAATCAACTCCACATATATACATCGCACATCAGGTTGTATATCTTGTGTCTATAGTACAAACAGGGACTATGGCATTGACAATGACTTGTTTCCTGTTGTCCTGTGTGAATTTCTTGTTCTGTGATAGTTTGTTACTGTCTTCACATTGTTATAAGGTGACATTCAATAAATGATTGTTGTGTTTACAGTGAGTGGAGAGGACTATTCCATGCAGTTTGATTCTCACACCGAGGATGAAATAGATGAGAAATCATTCCGTATGTTACTGCCATCAGAGAGTCATCGGAGGAGGAGTTCTCGTGGCAACTCTGACCATGCTTCATCGTCTGTAAGTTTTATATAATAAATCATGATTCTCTATTTTTTATATGATTGTTAAACTTAAACCATGGTACCACACGTCCTTCTTTTTTTTTTTGCAAATTAGAAAAGACAAATTTCTTCTATATAAAATCAGAAACTATTCGTTGATTCTTTTATCATAGCTGTCTAGCTTTAATTTTACAACAATTGGGGGGGGGGGGTGATCAAGACCTGTTTTTGAATATGCAAATTAATCAGTTATTTGATCATTTGTTGGAAAGAAACCTGAATATGAAATGGCTAGTGGAATTCATTGTGTTGTAACTCTGCTACACTGGGTGCGTTTTAGATAGAAATAGTTTATAGCGTATCGGTTCAGTCACCTTTAATGGTGTTGTTATTGTCATTTTACTTGAAATAACTGTGAATCATTGATGCATGAAGTCTCCACCCACCCAGCATTGAAAGATGTTCCCCTTGTGTTCACTCTTATTGTCACCATGGCAATACTGGAACAATGTATTGAATGGTCCTTAGCCATCATTAATTCGTGTCACTGTGTTCATGACAATCTTACTAATTAGTAGCTTGCCAATCTAATAAAATATAGAAATCTGGTGAACAAAGAAAAGTTTGGGTTTATGATTGTGCAATAATATAATGCCAAATGTTGATTAAAGTAAAACAACAAAACCTATAAGTGATCTGATGACCTTTCACATTCTTATATCCACTCTTGCCCCTTGGTCTGGTCAGTGGAAATACCTTTAAGTAGAATGTTGTCTGTGTCAACATCTTTCATGGTTTTTAGTTGAGAACAGTTGAGGATTGAAGGTTAAATGTTAGAATAAAATAAAATCCTGACTCATACTGAGTCTTCCAAAGTCTTGAAAATCATAATTCAATCTGCATGGATTTTTCTCTCAAATATATTATTAGTTTGTGTTAGGTGCTGGCTAGTAAATTGTGAAGCTGGCCAGTAACATGTATATTTAGGTCAACAAAATTATGTGGTTGGTAGCCTCTGGCTAGTAGTGAGAAATGTAAATAGCTGTGAATACTGTATATTTATGAGGAATACTTGTGTCAACTGTTAATGACTGTATATTGACTATGGTGTGTTTATTTTTACAGGATGAGACTACCTTAACACATGATGCTTCCAAGGTAAATATATTTATTTTCACACACTTATTACATGCAATCAATTACACACATCTGTGATACATGAATATGGATTATTTTGCTGTCCAGTGAAACTGGTAATGATCATTGACTGCTGCTACACATCCAACTGTTTACGATAGTGGCTATCGCAAAATTTGGACAGAGTCCCGTTAACCCGCAATGTCTGCAATTATTTTGGAGAGTGAAACATCATGTATAATGACTGAGAGTTGTATAGTAAAAATATTATTTCCCAAATTTTGGTGTTTCTACGCTCGCGCAACAAGAACATTTGCCCTAAGGTATATAGTCTCCTCCAGTTTATGCACAAGTGATGCTATTCTTTTTCAATGAAATATATTTGTCAGAACACAGCCAATACATAGCTAGTGTGTAGTTTTAGTATGAGTTCATTTAATGATCAACTTCCAAAACCTTATTCTTTGTACAGTCACCTCAATGGGGAATGGATGACATGTCCTGTTCTCCATTCAGTGCCGAAGAATCGTTCAATAAATTTACTGCTGAAATGGTACGTCAGTATATGAGAGAGGAAGAGCTACGTGCACAGCATCAAGCAGCATTACTCAGACTTCGTGAGAAAGCACTGAAAGAAAAGACAAAAGCCGAGATGGCTTGGTTGGAACATCAGAAAAGGTATGCCAAGTGGACATTACTGACCAATATTAGAGTCTTGATAGCTCAGCTGTAACTATTTTATGGGGATGGGATTGGGGGTGTCATTTCATGAATTTCAGTAATTCTACTAATTATTTTAATTCATCTTCTTGGTTGTTTTAGAAGTATATAAAATAAACAAGTAATATAATTTAATTAACAACTTAGTTAGCCGAGAATGCTTTACACAAACCGAAATCACAACCTCAGTGGTGAATTTAAGAGAACATATACTGATTCATACTAGTATGACATGACAATGGAGGAAGTGAAGCCATATATGGTCGGATGCTGTATTAATGATGGAAAATGAATGCAAAACTGTTAGCGATGCATATTTATGAGCTGCTGTAACTGATTTATAAAAATCCGATAAATAATTGTTTTTCGAATCTTCTTTGCTGTTCATGTGCATGATGACTCGTAATAAATACCATGACAACAAATGGATATAATTTCAGTATTGCAATTATTATTATCATCATATGCGTGTCGTTTTCCATGTTTGGGTCAAATAACTGATCAGCGAATGAGGGTGTGTCTTCGGCATGAGCCGAGTGAGTCCCGACTAACGTGAACACATCTACTGTAATTTCTCTCCAAAGAATGGAGGATTACAAATTTTGCCATGTGCCAAGATCCTGTAGTGTGAACGTAGCAATTGTCTGCTGAAAGTATCCACGGTTTGCCAAAATTTATAACAAAACATAGCATCTACAGGCAATGTGTAATATAGTGTATAAGTACTCAATCTCCTATCTGGAATTATTGAATGCGTAGCCCACCAAATGATTTTTGATTTATATAGAAAAATAAACATGATTGTTATTTGTTGTAGAAGAATGAAAGATAAAGGTACAGATGAAGCCATGCCTCCAATAAGAAAGAAACAACGTGGATTATTGATGAAACTCAAACAAGAACAGGTAATCAAATATTTGACAACATTTCCTGAATGCATTTAGAGACTCCGCCTTCCATTTATTATGTAATAGTAGATCAGCTGGTATCCATCTATCACTAGATGTTGGTACATAGATCTTTTTGTGTTGATCTGTACCTGTAGTCTTTGTGATGGTATTTTTGTAATTTCTGATGCATTTGGTGTCCTTAATGTTGTTATTTTTTGGATATTTGGATTTTATCAACACAGTAGAGATTTCCACCAATAAACTTGCATAACAGAAACATGGGAGAATATGATAACAACGATTGGTTTAATGTTGTTTTTTTCATTTGCATTACCAAGTTAGAACTGAGTTATAAATTTGCACTTTTCTTTAATACTGAATCAGTGAAAGTGGTTGATACCACCAGAACCTTAAACCAAATTTGTGCATCGCCCTCCGTGGTAGGTAGGAGTATCACATATCCCTCTTATGTCTTGTGCACTGCCTGTACCATGTGACAGCTGCACTCCCTCTACATGTAGCTTATGTGTAAGGTTTAATTTAAAGTTTTTGCTGTGTTTATTACCCAGGCTGAGATTGAAAGACTAAAAGCCGCTAATAAAGCTGCCAGTGAGGAAAGAAAACTGTTATTATACCAACAACAGGAGATATCACGAATTAAAAGAAGTGCACAGGCCTACTGGGAGCGAGTCAACGGCAAACCATCTGCTGATGATGTTAAGAGTGATGATGATATCAGCTTAGGGGTGAGACAACTTTCAAAATTTTAGTTTGTAGTAAATAGTAATGGTGTTGCACGTAATCAAGAGTGTGGTTGGGTTCTGTCGGCCACATTCCAACTTGAGTACGATTTCAGTGGAACAACTTGAACTCTCACGAATCAATTGATTTCACAACAATACTGCATTTATTTGCGAACAAAACTCTTCAACGAAAGTATAAACTTCTGATAAATACCTATAAACTTGTAGAACTGACCCACAGTTGGGCACGAACTAAAAACTGGAACACAACTACCATTTAATTTTTAAAAAAGGAAATAGAATATTACGGCGTTTTCCACGCAGACTGAGGTTAACCAATCAGTGACTGCGTACTAAATCAATAATAGAATGTCAGTCAACAGCTATGGCTTATTATGGTTTCAGTGATAAAGAGAAAGAGGTCATTTTCAGCCATGTGTTTTTGAAGACAGAGTCATTAATATCATTCTGTGTGCTAGCAAATAGTATCACAGTGGTGCTGGTGTTGTATACTATTTTCCATGGTTATTTATCTACTAAAGCTTGCATTAACCTAAATTATGATTCCAATGTCTCAAAAAACATATTGTCATGTACCTTCCCAACATCCCATCACATGACAGGCTAGCTAATGTCATAATAAATAGTTTAAATCCCAGACATGTATGCTTATTACCATATTT